TACCGCAGCGCGCCTTGTTTACAGTGGCTGTTACGGGCTGGAGAAAGCCACGTGGAGGCCAGCAGATGACGTGGAGATGAGGTATAAAGAAATGCACAGAGCGATTAGGTACAGTAGGTGTCTCTCGTCTCCCGAGTTGGGGTCTAAAAGACTCCGAAACCTCATGGTTGGAGACACTGAATGTCATGGCTACGAGCCGACAGCAATGGCAATCATGCTATCACTTCTTATCAGTCCAGAATGCTTAAACTAGTATGTATGTACAGTTGGGCTGTGTACTCTGTGTGTTGATCATAGAGGTTCACGTTCTTTTCCCGTCCCTAAAAATTGGCCCAATCCCTGTCCTCCTTATACATTCTCACTTATCTTGTATGCATTATGAGTTTGGCAGCGATAAGTGAAGTTCGCCTCACTGTATTACGCTGTACAATGATGATGAAATTTTGACGACTGAATAGATAAGGAATACCACTCTTGCGCGATAACATGAGGTTTCAAACGATTTAAAGATTCCTAGGCGTAGGTAATCATAGAGACAATGAAGTTTTTTATCCAAACAATTAAATCCAATGCGTGACATAAACGTTGATAAATTATCCACTGGGGCACAGATGTAGCATGACTGCCCCTCGTGATCGATTATCAAAACAGGTGCGCTCTCAGATAATAGCCACAGCAGAAGCGGCGGGGATGCGTCTGCACCCTCCCCCCTCTCTGTATGCCCAAAAGCAATTTGCTCATGCTCTTAAGCTTCCCTTGACCACCACACTCCGTACCCCGAGCAATCTTGATAATCGCGTGAATGAATGAAGAACTGTGATCATCGTGAATCCCACTTCCGACCTCATGATGAAATCAATCTTAACAATCTGTGGTGTGATCTTTTCCACCAAATTAAAAAATCCTCATTAGTGATGTATTGTGATACATTGGTATGGTTACGAATCACTTAAGGCGAGCTTTGTTGTTCGTCACCCTGTGTTTCGTTTGAAATGTGCTCGGTGGGACTGTGCAGACAATTGAAGCAGTATTTATCTATCAAACATCGTTTCCACCATTGTAAATTGTTTATTGCTCCGCCACTGCATCCATATAGTTGTCTTGGTGGAACATTTGTCAGGACCTAAATGATCGTGTCGTTCCTGGCTGTTTATCTGTTAAACGATACTTAATCTTAGCCAAACTTTCAGCTCGGTATCGGATCCATCTGATATCCTCGACGCCTTCACCTGTGAAAAAGCTGACACAACCATCATGCGTCCGATAGGATGCTCACAGTCACTAATCAATATATGTTTGATACAAATTTTCGGGGCAGATTTACCTCAGCATACTTAAATTCGCGCATGTTGGCATGGTTTCAAGTATAGTTTCCACGCAACTGGATAAATGAGTGATTCTGAGTAATCCTACCAGGCTGATTACGTTTATCCGGTAATCTTGGTACCAGGTTGACTAGCCTTTTTTGCCTCTAATGATAGATAAGTGTTTTATCTCTACAACTCAAGACGCAAAGGCTTCCCAACGGAGTTGGCTAGTCATGTGATAATTCATCACATAGCATATCATTTTAACTCGTTCTAAATTTGGATTGATCATGAATAGAGTATGAACCGCCAACTTCTCCATCTTAAATTAGTTTCGCCTATGACCGAAATACCTGGAAAGGATTTAATATTCTTTTTTTCGGTTTTTACAACCATTGACCATGCGCCGGTTTTGGTTGCTGTCTTTTGGCCGCCTATTTGGAGAAAAGAGTAGAATAAAGATTGGAATGTTAAGAGCAGCGTCAAGGTGAAGATAGAGAATTCATATACATTGCAAGAATAGTGAGTAGATGCCCGAGCGCTACTGTTTGCGATACCCAGTCATATCACGCAATGTCTCTAACCACCAGTTACTATGATCACGGGGTCCCCATCTAGCGTCCCTGACGGGACCTATTTGACCCAGTGTCGTGATGAGGGTTTTTATACACTCCTACCAGGTTTTAGTTTGACCGCCCTTGACCTTTTTCAACCGCTACCTGCCTCAGCAAACATCGCGCGCTGTGGCAACCCAATTTAGTGACGTGCGCAAAACATGTCCCAATCACTGTAGTCTATGGAGATCTGTCACTTACTCCAGTAGACGACCGCGATCACCTAACCTCAGCACTGCTCTTCTGGTTACCCCAACCAGACTTGTGCAGTGCCACGTAGACAGCGAGTCTCTGCGTCATAGAGCGTGAATGGCCCAACTGTTGCAACATACACCCGACCCTTCACGGACAACCGGTTGTCGCTACAGTACCACAGATGTTTCAAGTTCGGAAATGCTAATCGAGCCTTCTGTATGCGTGCCGACACTTCATCTGTGATGCGTCCGCCAGGTGAGATATAGCTACCCAAATAGCTAAATTTGTCTACTTCCTCAATCAGAGTGAGGTTGAGGCTGGACCAACCCAATCTTGTAACACCATTTTACACTTTGAACGTGCAAAATGCGTACCCAACAAGGATACACTAGTATTCAAACTATCCAGAAAAGCCTGCAACTTACCTGTGTGCCGTCAGACTCCTTAAGTACTTACGCCTACTTTCCTTGAACCCGTACTCCTATTTGAACGAAAACTTGTAACTATTACCGATAACCGCAGCCTTTTCCATCTCTCTACACTTCCCTATCCACCACTTCTCGCGGTCATTCCTCAGGCTCGTGATGAGCTAGCATTTAAGGGATTTGCGCGCTTTGTCGTATTTTGTATCTGAATAAACGGCTTTTTGAGCGTCCAGCAGGGCAATCGAGGTCAGGGAAATCCATCGTTTTTGCTTTGATCATGCGTCAGAATCAGCCGTTGTTTTGACTGACATTTGGATCGCTTGCTTGATTGCCGTCCAGTGTTCACTGGGTCCTTCGGCTGATGGTTTAACCGACAGGCGACCGGAGAGCTCCGTTTTGAATGCTAATTTGCAACAATCGCAGACATCCTGTCGTGGGTATCCGTTGTCGGTGACCTTTTTGCGGTCGTTCACCAGGCGTAAGGAGAATTCGGCTCCCAACAAAGCGTGGGCCGTACCCACAGGTGTTGACCAGTAAGACCGACAGTCTTAACTCAATATGTAACTGATGGCGATGTGGTCCATTTGGGTTCAACGCTGTGAAGAGGTTGGCGGTTTTCATGAAGGGCGGTGTCGTTTCTTGTGTAACAAATTGGTGCTTGACAGAAAAGGTCCGTGATCGGCGCAAAGCTGAAGTAGGCGTTCTCCGTTATCTGTTCGGTTGACTGGGATTGCATGTGGTCCGCCAAGAAGTCTTTTTGATTCGTCCAGGGATCCCATTTGAGGATTGAAGCCTCCAGCGACTATTACGATGTCCGTCGATCGAGCACTTTGGAGTAATTGAGAAAGAACCTTGGATTCAGGTGTACTGCAATCGGTCGGTGCATGCACTGGTATGAAGAATAAGCA